TATTGGAAGCTTTATAATTTTCAGGTAATAAAATCATAACCAGAGCCTATTCCATCCAAGGACAATGGTGAAAGTGACAGGAACAGACAAGGTTAATTTGGACTCTAAGTTGTGTCTGTATGTGTTAGAAATATTGTTCATGTATCTTCAGCAGGGAACCTTGAATATTTCAGATATAATGAGCCCTCTTGACAGATAATCCATGTTTGAAGATCAGTGCAGTTTGTAAACATCATTTGGGTGCCATCTGTGGTCTTTGGGCATTTTTAAAGCTTACTGTTTAGTTAAAAATAACTTGTAAATACCTAGACTTTGAAGGAAGTAGAAATTACCTGGCTGTATATAGCTGTCTTTCCTGCCCCAAAATACGATTGGAGGGGGATTGAGGTGGATGAGAGACTATTCTCAATAATTATGATAACCAGATATGTGGGGAGTTTCCCCATATCAAGCAATTCTCCAATTCTTAGTGATCACCAGCCGAGTGTCCTACAATTCAGTTCACTTCTGACACTGAAATTAACATCATATCCCACAAGGTAAAGGACTCAGTCCCACAAAACTACTTGAAACCTGGTCCTACTTCTGACTCACAGGCTATAAATTGGGGGTTCAGTAATTTGCTACAGTGGCCCATAGAACTCAGGGAAATAATTTGTGTTTACTGGTTTATTACAGAGGATAATACAAAGGAGACAAATGTACAGTCAGATGAAGAGGTACATATTGCAAGGTTCAGAAGAGTCTGTGTGTGGGCATTATGTCCCTGTGGACCTAGAGTGCACTACTTGAATTTAAAGTTCAATACATTTTATTCAGGAATTTTATAGAACATAATCTGCAGCATGCCACTTTCTTTTCCCCTTCCTTGAGGTCCTTAGGTGGTAACCAATCCCATCCTAAAGCTACTTAGGAGCCTTACCCTAAAGTCACTTAATTAGCATAAACCCAGGTGTGTCCCAAAGGGATTCCTTATGAATAACATAAACAATCCCATCGAGGAATTCTAAAACCAAATTGATTTCTTTCTTTTTTTAATCCTCCTGAGAATATTTTCCCATTGATTTTTTTAGAGAGAGAGTGGGAGAGAGAGGGAAAGACAGAGAAACCTTAATGTGAGAGAAACATATTGTTTGCCTGCTGTACGAGCCCCAATCAGGGCCCAGGCTAGGGAGAAGAAGGCTTGCAACCGAGGTACATGCCCTTAACCTTGGACCCTAGGCTAAGTCTCTCCACTGAGCCAAACTGGCTAGAACTAAGTTTATTTGTTTATTTTTTTAATATATTTTATTGATTTTTTTACAGAGAGTAAGGGAGAGGGAAAGAGAGCTAGAAACATCAGTCAGCTGCCTCCTGCTGGGGATGTGCTGGCAACCAAGGTACATGCCCTTCACCGGAATCAAATTGAACCTGGGACCTTTCAATCCACAGGCTGATGCTTTTTCACTGAGCCAAACCGGTTTTGGCCCTAAATTTATTTCTTATTATACCACATGCTTTTTTTTTTTTTTTTTTTTTTTTTTTTTTTTTTTTTTTTTTTTTTTTTTTTTTAGTCTCCACAAAATTTCTTATATTGTGTTTAATTAAAAATAATTATGAGAGCTCATTGAACAGGTTTTGTAAAAATCTTATAGACAAGTAAAATATATACAAATTGTTAATATAATTTGAGTAAGTTAATGTATGTTAAATGTGTTTGAATACCTTCCTCAAGTGAAAATTGTTGATTAAAAACATTAAATAATACTTGGAATGCTCTTAAGGCAGTAAATTTAAGAGGTTGTAAAAGGAAGAGGGGCAGATAAAAGTATATTTGATAGAGTGTGTTGGTGTTCCTCAGTCCACTTCAAGTGTCACAGACTGCCTGCCTCAACTCTGAACTTGTCCTAACAGCCCTTGTATTCTGGCATGGTGTTCTATGCACTGTGAACCTAATGAACAATTACTCTCTTTGAATTTCACCTCTTGACAGACTTCTCATTGTAGTAGCAGATATTCTTATCCTTCCAGGAAAGGAAGGCCTACTCTGGACACACTCCTAGGTAAGCAAGAGTACCTAATTAGAATACCATTTAAGGCCTATTGCAATGTGGGTTATAGGTGGCTATCCCCCTTTCCCACCTTCTCCTCCACCCCCACCCCCACCCCACACACACCAATTGGACCCTTTTTAACAAAGGGTCCATTTTCTTTGAGCTTGGGGTTGAGTATGTTGCCCAGTGCAGCCTCTGGTGCTGGGAAGGTTTTCAGTTGTGCGAAAATGTAAAATGTCAGTTTTATAGCAGGACTAGATGGTCTTTAATCCTATTGAGTCAGAAGGAGAAATTTGCCTCTTTTCCCAAATATGCTAGAACTGTCCATCTGAGAATTTGGGACAACAAAAATTTCTTCTGAATCCAACTTACTCTCCAGGTATCTCAGAATAGAACCTCCTGGGATACATTCTGTAGGTGGATCTTAATTCTTCAGCAGCCTGCTCTCTTAGTGAGGGGGAGAAGGGATAAGGGAGTTTCAAGGCTCTTCTTTGCATCAGGTTAGAAATTAAGAGGTTTCTCATTTGGAGACACTGTCCTCAGCATAATGAAGTTCCCTCTGATATAACTATATCTTATTGCCACTGGACACATTTTGAATCCTTGCCTACTATCTGTTAGAAAAGAAAAATTCCTTTTTTTCTTATTTTTGCCATTTTTCCTGAACAGGTGTATTTTTCTTCCTTTAATTTAAATGAAAGGAGGTCAAGAAAAAGAATGGTTTTACTTTTATCCCCAACCCAAAATATAATGGTGTTTAATTAAGGGCCATAATTTTATTCTTTTACAGATACAAAGATAAAAACATTAAAATAGACATTAAGGTTTTCTATGTTTTAATCCAGTTCTTTCTCTTTCATCTACTTAATTTGTCTGTAATAGGTGTCTTATAACTCTTTATAAGTTTGCTTTGTCCTTTTTTTTTTTTTAACCTTCCACTTACTTTAGATTTTTATTTTTATTTTTTTATTGATTTGAGAGAGGGAAACATTGATTGGTTGCTTCCCACATGTACCCTGACTGGAGTCAAATCAGTGACCTTTAGGGGACATTGCTCAAGCAGCTGAACCACACCCACCAGGGCTAAATCTTCATTTTAACACGTTTTCAGACGTGTGGCTTCTCGTCCAATGTATGCTTTGTTTTTACTCTTGTCACCACCCTTCCTTCCCAGTTCAGAAGGCTTGACCTTTTGAGATGCCCGACACTGCTTCTTGTCACACAGGTACTGGTTCTGTATGTCTTCTGTTTTCACATTTTCGTTTGAATCTCTAAGGTCAGCTTTAGCAGAATGATCCTAGTCAAAACAAAAGTTTGTCTTTTCAGCCTTGCCTGTGTGACTGGCTGAGCATTGACTTGTGAACCAGGAGGTTACAGGGCACATGCCAGGGTTGCAGGCTTGTCCCCAGTAGGGGGCAGCAGGTCAGTGATTCTCATGATTGTTTCTATTCCTCTCTGAAATCAATTTTTTTTAAAAATTTTAATTTGTCTTTTTATGCTCTATCTGTGGCCTTTTAAATTAGATTGTTTCCCCCAAACGAACATCTAGGTATATGAAAATAAAGCCCATAAATGAATTTTTACTAATAACCAGTCAGCTTACAAACTTCATCAAGCATCTGTTGTGAGCTGGGCAATAGACATTTGTAAGAAATGTGTAGTACAGTCAGAATGTGGTCTGATACATAACCCTAGTTGTAATGATATGAACCATTTCCAGCTCCATATTCATAAGTACATAGAAACACAGTACTTATTGAATGGGTATAGATAATTCAGGTCTCAAATAAATATGTTGGACATTGTCAGAAACCAAAAGATGGATATCTATATTGATTTCCGAGATGGAGGGAGAGGGAGAAGTAGAAACATCAGTGAGAGAAAATCATTGATCCGCTGCCTCCTGCATACTCCACACTGGGGATTGAGCCTACAACCCAGGAATGTGCCCCAGTCGGGAATCAAACCCTAACTTCCTGGTTCATAGGTCAGCACTCAACCACTGAGCCATGCAGGCCAGGTGAGGTGTGTTTTAATCAAGTAATGAAACTAGTTTCCTGAAAAATTGAATAGCACAGATTTTATCCTTACAACAGCTATTACTGCTATTTCTTGGGTGAAGAAATTGAAGTACAGTAAGGAACAATGCTAGATTCTGTTTGTACATTTCTGATTTCAAAGCCTGTGATCCTAGCATACCATACTGCCTTGCTCTTTGATTAGTATTTCTGAATAGAAATGTCTCCCATTTCTTTCTGAAAGACTCTTGTCCAAGGAAATTGGAGTTTACTAGAAGGAGCAGGTGTGCTGAGACCCAAGAGCAAAGATAAAACGGAAACAGGCATGCTGTTTGCAAGTCTATCCTAGGAAAAACTTGGGTGCTGAACATATTTATTTCTAATGAGAATCCATAAAGCAAGTGAGGGAAATAACTTGCTTTTAAATCCCTCCCCAGAAGCTAATTTGTATATTAGAAAGATTAACAGGAAGTCTTTAGCTTTGTTTTATTTGCATAGTACTTACATAGTGGTCAAAAGATAGAAGTTAGATTTTCATTTATAGAGTCCTGTGTAGAACACTGGTAATGAGTCCCTAATGCTGCTTGTGATTGATATCTCCTGACTTTGCACTGATGTGAGAACATTAGAGAAATTTTCCAGCTTCTGTTGCTTCCCTGGTGGAATATTCCACTAGGTTAATTTTGTAAAGTTGTTATAATTCTTTTAAGATGAAGTACATCTCTGTACTTGTAGAAAAAAATAATGTTCCATCAGATATATACATTTTGGGTTTGAATAACTGAGTAATCCTGCTAAGGATGGTACTAAAATGAACTTTGTAAACTTCCTACTGAAAAACTTTGGAAGAGTTTATTTATTCTGTCCTCTAGCCTAGAGGCTGTTTTATGTTAGGAATTAACCATTTATTCATTCATCAGATATTTGAGTGCTCACTGTATGAATCAAAATACGGAACCCATTCCTTATCTGTAGGCTAACGCCACTTAAACTTTTGTATAATCTGACTAAAGTTTTAGAGGAGAATGACTCTCCTTTATGATATATTTAAAAAATAGTTTCTGATGTTCTGGCCATATTGTTTTGTTTTTTATTGCTTTCAGAGAGGAAGGGAGAAGGAAAGGAAAAAACATCAATGATGAGAGGAGTCATTGATCGGTTGTCTGAAACCACGGCAAGTGCCCTTGATCGGAATCAAACCAGAGATCCTTCAGGCTGCAAGCCTATGCTCTATCCACTGAGCCAAACCAGCTAGGGCTGGCCATATTGTTTTGAACTACATTTTTTGCTTGGTACTTTTGTTCTGTTGGAAGATTTGGCAAGTTCTCTATCTTCCCCCCTCCCTCCTTTAGATTGACTTCAGCACCCACCTAACTGTCTTTTCCCTGTGCTATGATGATGGTTCTTTCTGACTGATACCATTAAAGGTCAGAGGGGTAGGGCACAAGGACCTAGAGGCCCATCTAGTTACCATTTAGTGAAAACTATTCATGCTAGGCATTTGTTAAGTATTATCTTTTTTTATATATATTTTATTGATTTTTTTTTACAGAGAGGGAGGGAGAGAGATAGAGAGCTAGAAACGTCGATGAGAAACATCGACCAGCTGCCTCTTGCACACCCCCTACTGAGGATGTGCCCGCAACCAATGTACATGCCCTTGACCGGAATCGAACCTGGGACCTTTCAGTCTGCAGACTGACGCTCTACCACTGAGCCAAACCTGATAAGTATAATCTTAATAGGATCCTCATTACCTTGTAAACTAAGTAAAACTGAGGCCCAAAGATATTTGTGTAATAAGCTGTAGGTCACACAGGACAGAACATGAACCCAAATCTGTCTGATTCTAAAACCTTTGCTCATTCATAACCACCTTCCTTTCTGTTCCCATATTCAACCCATATTAAAAAGATTGCTTTAGTCTCAGAATTTTAACTTGGCTTTATGTGTTGGGTAAGAGAAGAAAAATGTAAACCCCACGATGAAAAAATAAAGACAAAGGTAGTAAGAATTGGAGAGGAGTTGATTTTCAGCTGGTGATCCATATAATGTGGCTAGTTTATCAACTCACAGAAATAATCTGATGATTTTAGTTTTGTTTGTTTTTAATACTCAAACACCTGTATGTTTTTATTGATTTTAGAGAGGAAGGGAAACATTGATGTGAGAGGAAAACATTGATCAGTTGCCTCCTCTACAGGCCAACCAGGAATCAAATCCTGATCAAACATTTTTGGTGTACAGGACGATACTCCAACCAACGGAGTGGCCAGGGCAACTGAGGTTTAAGTTAAGCATCATGGGCCTGAAAAGGATATAGTGGCAACCTTAGCCATCCATATCCTCGGGCTAGCATCAATCATTGAGGTGGGAAAGCTTCTTTGAGAGCATATACTTTAAATCCCAACCAGAGAATATAGTAGGCAGTCTGTAAAATGTTCCTGCCCAAACCTAAAATTAATTCTATTATGATGAGATGGATGGCAGGGCATTTCATGGGGAATGAATGTTCTAGCTGGAAAAATTTGGATATCTCTAAGCCTTGACAATTCAGTGGTGGTTATTGCTGTGGTAAATGATAGCAGTTCACCTGAAATCAAGTGGACTTGGAATTTCTCCTTAGGAGGGGAGGAGAAGTCATAGAATCTCTCTGGTTTCAGCAGGCCAAGACTGCTTGCTTAAAGGTGTAGGAAGCAAGTCCAACACATTGATTCTCAATCCTAGTTATGCATTAGAATTTTTCTGGTTCTGTTTGAATCAATCTATTTGAAAATTGAGATTCCCTCTTACCCACAGTTACCACCACCTTCATGTTCCCTATTTAAGAGCTATTAAATTAGGACTGGCTCAGGGTCTGAGCGTCGACCTATGAACCAGCAGATCATAGTTCAATTCTTGGTCAGGGCACATGTCTGGGTTTCAGGCTCAATCCCCAATAGGGGGTGTGTAGGAGTCAACTGATCAATGATTCTCTCTCATTGATGTTTGTATATTTCTCACCCTCTCCCTTCCTCTGAAGTCTTTCTTTCTTTTCCTTTTCTTTCTTTCTTTCTTTTTTTTTTTACAAAAGAGCTATTGAATTAGAATACAGAATCCTCAGTCGGGCACACACAAGAAACATCTAATGAATGCATAAATAAGTAAAACAACAAACCGGTGTTTCTTCTTTCCTTTCTCTAAAATAATTTTTTTAAGATACTTATAGGTCAAAGAGTGCCTGTTACATTTCCTTGTTATGGCTGACCAGAAGGCACCTTGTATGCAAAGGCTAGAACTCTCTAAAGTTACACATACAAAAAGACACCACAGCCAAGCTTTGCTCTAATTACCTTGAGTTTTCTTCCTTAGAAACCTTTCAGTAATGGCCATTCAATGACAAATATTTCCATTTTCATATGTTCAGGATCCATGGTTGGATTGGATGAGTACCTGGTAGGACTACCCTAACCTCTTTCCCATCCTAGAGAGAGACTTTTCCTTCAACAGTCTCTTTGAGAGTGAGGAAAAGAAAAACTTGAGCTATATGGTTTGTTTGTTATTGTTTTTTAATTCTCTTCCTGAATTTTGTCTAGTTTTATTTACTCTCAATATTTAGTCTGTTTACAACTACTTCTTCCTGTCTCCCAGCTGTTTTATTTCTCAGAAGTTAGTTCTCTGAGTAGAAGCATTGATGAACCCTTCTTTGATAAGGGAAAGGGTCCCTAAAATGAGAACAAAAAATAATATGTGAGCAGAGGTCCCTGGAAGCCATACATTAGCACATTGTTATATGTTGTGTCTGGCTTTGTCAAATTTTTACAACTTGCATGTTGATCATTGCTGTTCCTGATAATTCACTAGCTCTGGGATGAGTGTCTTTCACACGCAGAAAAGCAGGTGAAAAACTATTAAAATTTAAAAAGGGTGTAGTTTGCATATATAGCCAGCAGCTCCTTGGCTTTATTTCTTGTGCTTTCCTGGGGTTGTTCACTGTACTTTAAAATAAAATTTGCATTCAGCTCCCTTGGTTTTATTTTGGTATTTACACAAACTAGTTTAACAATTTTGATTTGATTGGCTTGCATATAGAGTAAATGAGTATTTGTGTTTGGAAACTTTCCTGGGAAAACTTTAATCTGCTTGTATTAAACCCAAGATACAAAACATCAGAAATTATGAAGTAGCCTTTAAATTTCTAAAGTGGAAGCCATTAAGTAATACTTATTTCCTCTTTACCAGTCAGGTGTCTTATAATAAAGATGAATTCAGTAAAGGTTACCCACAACGGTGTTTACCCCAGATGAGGTAGGGAAAGTCACAAAGGAAAACTAGTGAAAGGTAATTTTTTGAACATTAGTCAGAATTCAGGAGTAAGAGGCCAAGACTAACTTGGAGTAGTGTTTCAGATCAAGCAACTTGGTAGAGGTTTATCAAACAAATTTTTGGCAAGCTATATTTCTGAATTTTTATTTTTATTTTTTAAGAGAGAGAGAAACCTCAGTTTGAGAGAGATCAGTTGCCTCCCTTATGCACCCTCAACTTTTCAGTGCACAGGACAACACTCAGCCACCTGAACCACTTCAGCTAGGCAGCTAAACCATTATTTAGTTGGAATCCTATAACAAGATTATGTTCTTTGGTATCTTCACTGCTTTGTCCTCTCTAGAAGTTACTTGGATGTGAGTGTAAGGTTGCCCAACTCTGGTGACTCTTCAGTAAAGTTGTTTAAGAAATGCCTATATCTTATTAACTTAACCTATAGTAGAAAGTAAGTTATTGCTTATCTTTTTTTTTAAATATGCTTCAAAAAAATTGTTTTATTGCTTTTTTAGAGAGAGAAAAGGAGAAGGATAGAAAGATAGAAACATTGATAGGCTGCCTCCTGCATGCCCCCAAGTGGGGATTGATCCCAAAACCTTTGCATGTGCCCTGACCATGAATTGAACCAGGGACCTCTTGGTTCATGGGTCCAATGCCCAACTACTGAGTCATACCACCTGGGCAATAGCTGCTTTTTTTAAGGTCTTACTTTGTCCTCCACATGGTTATTTGCTTTAAGGATTTCCTTCAGGCATTTTGGGTTCTCTCCATTATTTTTGTCCCAACATCCTCTCTATCCTCAAATTTTCCATCTTTTTTGTTTTATCTACACTAATAAAAGAAATATGCAAACTGTGCCTCCACAACGTCCATCAACCAATCAGGAGTGAGTATGCAAATTAACCCAACAAAGGTGGCAGGTTAATTTGCAGGCGCAGAGTGGCGGAGTGGGATGCCTATTATGAGGAGGGAGCTACAGGAGCAGTGCTCTGCCAGGAGTGAGGATTTGCAGGCTCCTGGGCAGCTGGAAGCGAAGCCAGGGAAAGGAAGGTCTATTCTTGCACGAATCTTTGTGCAACAGGCCAGGCCTCTAGTTTTAATATAAGCATTTATTTGAGCCATACTGACAACATACACCAGGGAGCAATATCTAAAATTCTCCCAAATTTTCCATCCTTGGGTGTTTTGGTTCCTGTTTGTTTCCTGAGTTATGAATCATTGCTTCTGCTATTCTTGGGGTCCCTTCTCATATCATTCCCTACTGATTACCTTTTTGCTAGTTTCATCTCCTAGGAAACTACTCTGTAAATCAGAGCACATCAGCATTTAGAAATTGAGCCCTTTTGAGAAATAACTCCCTTGGTCCCTAAAGATTCCAAGAGCCTCTAGGGTGAAGAAAAATGCTCTTGAGAATTTTTCATCTGAAAGGAAGTACAAGCCAGGAAAGTCAATATTCAAACTTATCTGCCTTCCATTTTCCCTGTCTTATATATTTTTATATTACACATTTGCATAAGTTGACAATCCCTGTTTAGAGACAGGTTGGTGGCACCTACACTGTTTGAAGTTAAATGTTTCCAGCCACTCACAGAACAAATTTCTTTTCTGACTGTAAAAATCTTTTTTTTTGTAATAAAACATTTGTTTCATTTGGGAATTCTTTTTCTATCTAGTTCAGAAACTGGAACGAGGCCACAGGTAGAATTTTATTTATGTCTGATCTTTGGATTTTTAGCACTTTGTCCTAGTTTTTTAAAGTTCCTTTAATGTGGTTGTGCTGTGAAAAGTAAAAAGAGTTTAGAGAGCAATACACCTGGCTAATGGTGGGGGGGGGGGGAGAAAGAGAGAGAGTGAGTGAGTGAGTGTGTGAGTGAGTGTGTGTGTGTGTGTGTGTGTGTGTGTGTGTGTATACGTACAAGCAAGATCACTCTGGTTTGTCAGCACTACAGTGAAATTTTAGTTTGATTTAAATATTGGAAATAACATTTATATAGATAAATAACTATGGGTCAGGTTTGGTATTTTGGAGACTTATGTCATTTGAGGTAGCTATCTTGTTTCCCCAAAAACAAGACAGTGTCTTATATTAATTTTTGCTCCCAAAGATGCACTAGGTCTTATTTTCAGGGGATGTCTTATTTTTCCATGAAGAAGAATACAGTACACATTTATTGTTAAATGAAAATAAAGGAAATTTATTACCTGTATACGGTACGGTAGTACGGTAGTTGTCAACACAAACCAGACAAACTGTGAATCCTATAGTATCAAGAATTTACTCATTTATTCAATGACAATCATGTCATCATCTTCTGGAACATCATCATAACAATCCAATTCCTGAATTTCCTGGTAAATTTCTTGTGACTCCATTTTTTTTAGAATCAGTGGACCAAATCTCTCATGTTTAGCCTAGGGGGGGGGCCTTATCTTCGGGGGATGCCTTATATTTCAGAAGGAAACCTGTAAATAGGTCTTATTTTCGGGGAAACACGGTACATATACATTTGCTTGATTCTCTGGTCTGACTAGAATGCTTGCTCCCCTATCCTAGGGGTGGCAGCAGAGCAAACACCATACTGTCGTTAGTCAACTTGGGGAAAAT